TGCTCTCACTGCCATTTGCAATTCTATCAAGTCCCAAAGTGGCATATTCTACTTTCTGTTCATCTCGGGACAGAATTACATTAAAATACTGCTGGTGTCCTGCAGCGAGAGATGCTGGAGGTGGTGGTGTACTCAGAGGATGTTTGTGTGTGGGCGTGTGTACATATGTGCAACAGCTGTAATGAAGAACAACAAGACAGATGGCATCAGCTTCTTTGCTCTGCTTTGTTCTCTTGCTCACTCACCTCTGTTTTCTGAGTGCCTTTCCTGTTCTTGTTCTGTCTTTGAGTTCAAAATGAGGTTTTTGTTCCTGTCATACATGGAAATTGGGTTGTATATTCCTTTTGAAGCATTTGAATGAATGATATCATAGTAGATGTGATCTACTCAAATAGGATATTCGTGTCACATCCTGAGTTTGTTGTTCTTTTGTTTTTACCCGAGCCGCCTTTTCTCTTAATTTGTTTTTAATCCTCTCGTTTTTTTGACGCAAACGGATAACAACAGAGAAAGGTATTAAGAAAGAAAGTGTACTTTATTGATCCCCATGGGGAAATTCCCCGGCCTTCCGATCGTTGGGCCACCACTCTACCTACTGAGCTATCCCTGCCCCCTACTGAGTGAAATGAAATGAAATGAAACATTTTCACTGCATTATCTGTGTGTCAGATCAATAGAAAAATAAGGGCAGAGGTGGGAAGAGAAGCTTAGCTTGGTTATAATATCACTTAACGCCAGTGTTCATAAAGAATAATACCACGCCGCTACAAATGAATTATGGGACTGCAGAGAGCCAGCACCACCACTTTTGGAGGTCAATATATCTTGATTTTCAGTGTAAAGAAATGTCACTTTTATTAAACTGTGGGGCAGTTGGTTCTGCCTTCATATATTATATCTATCACTCGCAGTCTGATCGTTGCCCACTGGCACACACTCCGTCTTTCTTTGTCTTGCCACAAACTTTCCTTACTTTATTTAAAGTGGTAGGAAGCCCATTATTTTAGCTGTTCTTTCCCATTACCTCCCACATCCTTAATTCAGTGCAGGCTTTTAATTTTTTTGAGCAAACAGTCAAATTCATGAAAACCTAGTGAGAAATTATTCTTGGTTGTCATCTACTTGCTACCTTTCAATGCCCCCCTTTTTTTTTTTTTTTGCCCAGCTATTTTCACTGTTACTCATGAATTTATTTGAGCTAAATGACACTGTGGTATAAGGTAGAGATCACATCGACAGATCAAAGCAGTAAGTATAGCCTATAAAACCTGGTAGCATTCTTTGAGCTACTGTAAGTGCAGTCTGCAGCACTCTCATCATCTCAAAATTGCTGTGCCGCTCCCACCACAAGACATTATTTGTGCCTGTCTGAAGTTGACATGAAGATGAACGGATCACAAGATTATTCCACTTGGGAGAAATCCACAGCTCGATCAAATAACTGCAATATTCAAATGGCCAAGAAGTCACAGTGGGGCAGATGTATGATGCATTCTCGCTCAGACACTTGTATGCGTGTATATAAAAGAGCAGGTATAAAAAAAAAAAAAACAAAACGGATAGGTGGTAGGTGCCATGTCCATCCATAGAGCGGCATTTAGAGATGCTAGACATCCTGTAGTGTCTCTGTTTTCAATGAAAACAAGCTCAACTGAGCTCTATGTGAAGTCAGTTCTGCACCACCACTTTTGTGCTCTTTTAGTGAGTTTATCACTTGTTTGTGCTGCTGGGCAGTGAAGATGAGAAAATTCATAATCATTAAAGGTCTTATTTCACTTGATATCCATAATAGATCATTTAAAATGACCTCATTTCAATAAAAAAAAAGAAGAGAAAATTTAATATTTTGAATTTACCCACTGTATTTATCAGAGCACACAAGTAATAATTTGGATGTTGAAACAGCAATTCAGTGGTCATGCTCTTAAACTGCAAATCTCAACTGTGACCAGATGCCCTCGTGAGATGGCTTTTCTGGGAAAAAAACATCCTCTAGTTTGAGCCTCGCTCTTGAACTGAGTGATGCATTTCTTGGTTGCTTGCGTCGAGATCCGACAGACATGACGCCGAGGTGGACGAGGGGATCGGGTGACACCTGGTCCTGTTGTGCTACTCAGAGCTCAGTCCAGTGTAGCAACTTCATCCTAGCTGCTCTTTGTCTGGCTTCAATGTTGAATGAACTTTTACTCAGTTGTTTTCAATACTTTATAGGGGGTTATAAAACTCTACAGTCTCTAGAGT